TTTTTTTTTTTTTTTTTTTTTTTTTTTTTTTTTTTTTTTTTTTTTTTTTTTTTTTTTTTTTTTTTTTTTTTTTTTGCGCAATAATAGTCTACAAGTATCATAGGGGAGAATCATTGTATAGCAATAGTCTTCTCATTTTTACATAAAACATTCTTGTTGACAGGTAAGTAGTACAACACAACAATTGTATCTTATTTATAGTTCGACGTGTTAAGATCAATTACATTATTTGTAAGTGATGTTTGTTTATCTTTTGAGTTGAAGCTTTCTAAGAACTTGCCGTGAGCAATATGGAAAATCCTTGCTTGAATGAAAAATGGAGAGAGATCTTTCTCCGTTAACTAAACGAGGTTAGATAAAAAGATTATATTCTTTGGTTGCGTTCCTGCCCTAATAGTTTTTTGTTCATAAATATAAATATATATATATATATATATAAAAAAAAAGATAATAATAATAATAATTTTTTCTTTTTGGAGAATTCAATTCTCACTCGTCTGAATATTCTTCTTCAAAAAGAAAAAAGAAAATATTTAAATCGTCATATTTAGCAAGCTGAAAAAATAAAATATAAATAAAAAAAAAAGGACAATTAAACCAAGAAAATCCAACCAAATAACAAAGGTCCACGTGGAAGGCGGCAGCCAAACTAGTAGGGCATCGCATCGGGTGCACCAACTTTTGGTACACCCCAGAAACAGAAAATGGAAGAAAATCTTTTGTGTCCACATAAACTTATGGCTCACAATCAAATACACTCGCTGACGTGGCACCCACCTCTTTTAACGGATTCATCGTCAAACTTCCCCCTCTTAACACTCCCAAAAATCCCTTCTTTCCTTCAACTCCCAACTCTTCTTCTTCTTCTTCTTCTTCCGCCTCCTCCTCAAACCAATCATGTTCGATTCTTCTAAGGACCCTTCCTTTACGCTTTTCGGCCGCAAAATCCCACTTTCCGACGACGGAGAGCCTCCGCCGATCCATTCCCACGCCCACGACTCCCCTTCTGACAAAGATGCACCACCCGGAAAGGTACAGGGTTGCCCTACACACACAGGACGCCGTAAACTTCCATGGCTCTTCTCTTATATTTTAATCCAACTCCTACCCACTTCACCAAATGGGTATACAAATTTTGGGTCGTTCTTACTTTTTCACTTCCGTTTCTGCTTCCTGTGTGCTTCTCAAAAACCCTCTTTTTTTCTTCCTCTGCTTTAACTTTTTGGTTGTTCATGAATCCTTTGAGTCTTTCTTTTTTCATTCTATTATGTTTTTCTCTGGTTATACTGTTAGTAACTAATCATTTCCTTTTGGGGAAAATTGAATTTTTTGGCCTATGCTGAATTCTTCTCTTCCTCTGTTTTTTTCTCAATCAGTTTTCCAATCATTGACAGTATAAAGTTACTAATTTACTCGAAAGGGAAAAAGGGTTTTTATCAAATGTTAACTTTTGTTCTATCTCAATTGGGTTTTCAACGATGAACCAAACAGTAACTGGATTGGCTTAATTTCTTCGTTATTTATGGATCATAAAATTTTGTCTCTGTTTCTGGATTTCAGGAATCAACGGTAGATGATGATGAGAAAACTGTTGATGATTCAGATGATTCGATAAATGTAGACGCAGGGGAGGAAGTTGGCGTGAATCCCAAAACGCCGTCTATTGATGAAGAAGAAGCTGCGAACCCCATTAATGGAAAACCAGAAAGTGAAAACTCCAATTCAGAGAAAACCCTGAAGAAGCCTGATAAATTGCTTCCATGTCCTCGGTGCAAGAGTATGGAGACCAAGTTCTGTTACTACAATAATTATAATGTCAATCAACCTCGCCATTTTTGTAAAGCTTGTCAAAGATACTGGACCGCCGGCGGCACCATGAGGAACGTGCCGGTCGGAGCTGGTCGCCGTAAGAGTAAAAACTCTGTTTCTTATTACCGTCACATCACAATCTCTGAGGCTCTTGATGCTGCTCGAATCGAGCCTCCAAATGGAACCGACAAACCAAAATTCATCGGCAACAATGGTAGAGTCCTGAGTTTCAATTTGGATTCACAGAATTCTGACCCACCCGTGGTGGGCTCTGTTTTGAACCTTGCGGAAAACAGAGTTTTGAGTAATGGGGTGAAAAAGTTTGAAGAAAAAGGTTCTGAAGTATGTGATAAAAGCTCGAATTTGTCATCTACGGCAGTTCAAAGTTCATCAGAATCTCATACCCAGAAAATCAATGGCTTTCCATCTCAAATTTCATGTCTTTCTGGAGTCCCATGGCCTTTTGTTTGGAATTCATCCGTTCCTCCACCAGCCTTTTGCCCACCAGGATTTCCCTTAACGTTTGTTCCAGCAGCTGCATGGAACTGTGGAGCTCCAGGACCATGGAACACGACATGGTTTTCCCCACAAGCTTCCTCTGCAGAGAAATCTCTCTGTTCTGACACGAAAGCTTCTTCAACACTGGGAAAACATCAAAGAGACAACGAAATAGCCAAAGAAGAAGGGATTTTAAGTAAAGAGGAGGGTTTAAAGCAGAGAAATGGATATGTTTTGACCCCAAAAACTTTAAGGATTGATGACCCAAGTGAGGCAGCAAAAAGTTCCATATGGGCAACACTTGGCATAAAGAATGAATCAATCACCGGAGGAAAAAATCTGTTCAAAACCTTCCAACCCAAGGGCCATGAGAAGCCTCATATTGCTGAAACCTCCTCAGTCTTACAGGCCAACCCGGCAGCCTTGTCGAGATCACTCATCTTCCATGAGAGCTCTTGAGCGCCGTCGTCCTCATCGACCTTGATTCAGAGCAAGTTAGAATTGGGTAACCTTTGGATTAGAAAGTATGAGGTAGCTGTGATGAGCCAATGTAGTATTAAGGGATGCAGTTTATATTACATTATTTGCCTGATTTACATAGCCACGCTGATTGCTGAGCTTGTTGTTATTCACGTTGTAATGTAAATATAGATATGTAAAATACTGACATAGATTGCAGAAGAAAAAGAAGAATTTGTTGGTTATGTTTGTTGCTGTTATGGCTTAAAAAAAGTATCTTTTTTCAGTGTGTTTGGGTGCATTTTTATGAGTTGATCATAACCGCAGACAGCCACACTTGTCACTGCAGAGAGTATCTTCCTAAAAGCTAAAAAATTTAATGTCAAAAAGGCTCAAAAAGCAATTATAAGCAACAAAAGGCGATTCTAGTGTGTGGCTTTATGTAGCTCCAAACCTCCAAAAGTTCTTATCCCAACAGCTGTAACAGGATAAGCTTCAAAAAGCAGCAGCTGCAGACAGTTTAAGCTTTTCTTTTGGACTACTTTTTCATCTTCTTCTTACATCCAACGCTTCTCATTTAACAAGTTCAAGGGCTGCTGCTATAATGTAACACACACGACCCGTAATTGTAATTTAAATGGATGAACGGTGAAATCGTATGGTTTGAGTTGAAAGTGAACGATATCGTACTGGTGTAGAAACGAGGAAAAGAGGGATTTGAAATGGTTTTAGTTGAAAAGAAAGCAGGGCAGAGACTATAAATGCAGCAGGGGGTGGGGAGGAAAAGTTAGCACACGAGTCTGTTTAGACAGAGAATGAAAGATGCCTAATGAATATGGCAAAAGGAGAAAAAGAGTGAGATATTTAGAAGGGTAGAGGCAAATGGTAGCCACAATTTTATTGTATAAAAAGATGAGCTAGCTGTTCAAATGGGTCCCAAATGCATATAGTGCCATGAATCCTTTTTGGACTTTGTCTCTTGCTTTTGCTTTCTACCTTTTGCGACTTTATCCCATTTATTTCATCTCTACACTTTTAATTTGTAGTGGTCCAAGTTCACTGTAAGTAGATATTGTCATTTTTTAACTTTTTCTTCGGGCCTTCCCTTTAAAATATGTCTACAAGAAGTTTCAACACTCTTATAAGAATGCTTCGTTATCCTCTCCACAGAGATCTTATATATTATAATAATAACTCTTCAAAACTTTTAGGGAATTGTTAGACATTTATGCTAAATTCAACAAGATGCTTGTTGAACAAGTTGTCTTCTATGTCTAATAATACTCGATCTTGAGCCTTTGGAGATCCTACCTCGATTAGAGAGAGGAACAAAGTATTGTTTATAAGAGTGTGAAAACATCTCTTAAACTACTTATTTTAAAAAATTTGAAAAGAAGCTTGAAAATATTTGCTAAGAGTGGGTTAGACGGTAACAGAAGTATTTTTTTTTATAGCCCTGGTGGAGTATTGAAAATTTTGTGCTATGGGTCTCAATGTTTTCCTTCCTCCTCCACTACTGTCCCGACACAAAATTAAAAGTTGAAGGACTACTAAAAAACGATTGAAATGACCCTTTTATTGGCATGTGTCCCCAACTTGAGGTTGGTAGGTAAGGGCATTTATGGGAGTTGGTTAAAAAAAATGGTTTCTTTGGCCCAAGCATAGAAACCCCACTTAAAAGGTGTAGGCAAAGAACATGGATGTTGAGGCATTTATGTACCTAACCATACCAGCAAAGTTGTGGTGTGTTTTGTTAGATGCCATGGGAATTAGGAATGTTTTGGAATCATCATGTTGATGTGATTACAAAAGTGTTCCGTAATTAGGGCCTTACACATTATTTGTTTTACGCTACAAAATTTATGTTAAAACTGTCGATTTCATTCTCTTACAGAAATATTCGTTACTTGGATTAGATCAGGTTTGAACATTTTTTTTAGATCATAACCTAATTATTTGGATTGTCGCTCTTATTAAATAATGAACCCAACCCAATCATAAATTATACGAACCAGTGGTGTTTTTAATTATATTATATTATTTATTTTTTTTCTGGTGACTTATCATATGGGTAGTGGTATTATTTAAATTCAGTTGATGTTAAAATTGACTTAAACTATCAGTCTTCTACCAATTTTTTTTAATATTTTAATTAATTATGGATGGTCTCAAAATTCCACTACCTCAATTTTCCCTTTAAAAAAATACATATAAATAATTTGAACATGTTCTAGATTAAGTGAATAACTTTATTGAAAAGCTTTTTTTTTTTTTTTACAATAATATTTGTTTTTTTGGGTCCATAAATAGGAGATGGGATGGAAGATTTTACTAGTGATTTTGGATAAAAAGATCAAATTTGATAGGATAGAGATTCATATTAGGCTACTCGGCTAAAAGATAGCTGAACCAAGTCTTTCTAACACGGGTTTGAACATAGGACCCAAGTTTAGGGTTCAGAAAGATAATGAGCGGATATTGAAGAAGAAAAAATGGTTGGGTCTAATAGGGGTGTACACCCAATCCGGAAACTCGGGAACCCAATCTGATCCAACCCGAAATATAAAGGTTGGGTTGGGTTGTGTTGGATTTCGGGTTTGAGTTGGGTCCATTTTTTTTAACCCGATCTGATTTGAGTTGAGTTCGGATACCAAAAGAAAATGATTGAGTCAACCTGGTCCAACCCGAAAATTAAAAAAAATAAAATTAAAGTCCAAAGGCCGAAAGTCAAATCACAATATACAAAGACTTTTGTCTAGTTTCTTACCCAAGCCCAAGCCAAACTGACATTTCACGGTTAAAGAAATTTCTCTTTCCTTGCTGAGTTCCATCTCCCTCCTCTGACTCCTCTTCTCTGCACTTCATTTCTCCTCTCCAATTCAATAGCATTCTCTAGCGTTTTTTTGTCTTGTTTCTTTCGCGCGCCATCTTTCTCTCTTTAGTCTCCTGGAACGCTATAACGGATAGGTTTTTTTGTTTTTTCTCTTTTTGTTATATCCTCCTGCAGAAACTGATTGCATATTTTAACTTTGATGCATTCTATGATAATTGTTCATATTGAGTTAAATGTTTGAATCATAATAGTTCTATTTTACTTTTTATAGATGGAAAACAATAGTGCAACAATATGTGCAAGTAACTCTAGTAATTATAATGCATCGAAACCACCATTGGCTACCCAATCTGAATTTAAGAAAAAGAAACCCAATAAATCAACCGTGTGGAATCACTTTACAAGATTAGATAACAATAATAAGAGGTGCAAGTGCAACTATTGTTCTAAGGAGTATGCTTGTGATACTAATTCTTGTGGAACTAGCACATTATGGAAACATTTAAAAAATCAGTGTAGAAAGTACACATATAAGGTGGAGGACAAAGGACAAACCACTCTAAGTTTTCAACGTTCAATGGATGGAAAGGGTGGTAGTAATATTGTTAATTCCTTATTTAGTCAAACAAGATGTAGAGCAGCATGTGCCAAGATGATAATTATAGATGAATTATCATTTAAATTTGTAGAGAAGGAGAGTTTCAAATTGTTTTGTAGTATTGCATGTCCTAAGTTTGACCCTATGTTATTTCAGCTCTATCTAGAAGAAAAAAAGAAGTTGAAAGATTTTTTAGTCAGTCATTCCAAGAGGGTTTGTCTTACCACTAACACATGGATTTCGTTGCAAAATATTAATTACATGGTAATCACCGCTCATTTTATTGATTCAGAATAGAATTTGCATACCACAAAATATACAGATCCCGAAATCAATACTGTAATTAAGCAATCGTTTCTTTCGAATATCCGTTTCCAATTTCCAATCAACAACGAGGAGATCTATAGGACATACACAAACACATACTTCACAAGCAATGCATTTATCAAATTCAAAATGGATTCGACCGCGGAAACGCTCCGATGCGATTAATTTTTCGTAAGGATATTGAATAGTTACAGGCAAACGATTTGCATGAGATAAAGTAATAATGAAACCCTGACCAATGTACCTTACAGCTCGTACTGTTTGTTGACCATAATTCATGAACCCAGTTACCATAGAGAACATATTGTAATATCTCTAAAGAATTTTATGTTTGTTTCTTTCTCAACTTTTGTCAAGTTGCTAACCACAAGGGAGAGACTATTGGCAAGATCATTGAGAGTTGTTTATTGGAATGGAGAATCGATAAGGTTTTCTCTATCAGTTGATAATGTAAGTTCCAATGATATAACTATTTCATATATTATGAGAAGGCTTAGAAGTTGGAATTCTTGTTTTAGATTGAGAATTATTACACCTGAAGTGTTGTGCTCACATAATTAATTTGATTGTGAATGAAGGGCTTAAAGAAATGCATGACTCCATTTTTAGTGTTCGCAATGCTATGAGGTATGTTAGATCATCCCCAAGAGATTGACAAAATTTAAAGATGGTGTTGAACAAGAAAAAATTAAATGTAAGGCACTTGTTTGTTTGGATGTGGCGACTCGATGGAATTCCACTTATTTGATGCTTGATCATGTCTTGAAATTTGAAAAAGCTTCCAAAGTATTAGAGGAGGAAGGGGATTATGGAAACAAAAGAATAGGGTCACCAACCATTGATGATTGGAAAAATGTTGCAGTGTTTGTAAAGTTTTTGAAGGTTTTTTATGATGTCACTGCGAAGATAAGTGATTCTTTATATGAGACTTCTAATTCTTATTTTCATGAACTTTGGGGTGTTCGAGAACTTTTAATTCAGTGGAATACAAATGTAAACTCTGTTCTAAGTAATATTAGTTCCACCAACATTTAATTTAGTGGAGTTACTAATCCAACCAACTCGAACTCTTGGACTGAGTCAAAAAAATCCTTCAACTCAACCACGACTATGTACACCTAGTTTTAGGCAACTAAATTTGTAATTTAATTTATTTATTTGTGTGATTTGAATATAACTTGTCACGTGTATGTAAAAGTTGGATTAACATTTAGTTGGAGATGGGAAGAGGAGGAGAAGATGTCGAACGGGCACTGGTAGAGTTGAAATCCATGGACTTCAACAAACCTGGTCTAAATTCTCAAGGAACCCACAGTTTTTATCTTCTTCCCCTCCCGGAAAACCCTCAATTTCGCGATTAGGTCACAACATTCTTCGTTCTGTTCTGTACAATCCCTCTTAATCTCAGATTTTGAATTCCGTCGTCGCGTTGATTTTCTTCGCTCTCCGATCACTATTCTTCATGGGAACATCACTCTCGGTCTCTGCCGCCTACCAATCGTTTTCTGTAATCCCTTCACCTGCTTAG